TCCTTGTTAATGTTAGTCATTATCAAGCTAAGGTTGAGTACTGTGTGTTAGTGACTGAGCTCAACACTTGATCTGTGTTGTCTCTATTCCTTACAACAGTCCACTGAGATGTGTGTTCTTTTAACCTCCATTTTATTTATGTATTTATTTTGTGTGATTCGCTTCTGGTCATTTTCCTTTCTAAAAAGAAATATTATTCCATGGTGTATATGTACCACAGCTTCCTCATCCATTCGTCTGCTGATGGGCATCTAGGTTGCTTCCATGTCCTGGCTATTATAAACAGTGCTGCGATGAACATTGGGGTGCACGTGTCTCTTTCAGATCTGGTTTCCTCGGTGTGTATGCCCAGAAGTGGGATTGCTGGGTCATATGGCAGTTCTATTTCCAGCTTTTTAAGAAATCTCCACACTGTTTTCCATAGTGGCTGTACTAATTTGCATTCCCACCAACAGTGTAAGAGGGTTCCCTTTTCTCCACACCCTCTCCAGCATTTATTGCTTGTAGACGTTTGGATAGCAGCCATCCTGACTGGCGTGTAATGGTACCTCATTGTGGTTTTGATTTGCATTTCTCTGATAATGAGTGATGTTGAGCATCTTTTCATGTGTTTTTTTTGCCATCTGTATTTCTTCCTTGGAGAAATGTCTGTTTAGTTCTTTGGCCCATTTTTTGATTGGGTCATTTATTTTTCTGGAGTTGAGCTGGAGGAGTTGCTTGTATATTTTTGAGATTAATCCTTTGTCTGTTGCTTCCTTTGCTATTATTTTCTCCCAATCTGAGGGCTGTCTTTTCACCATTTGAATCAGTTCTAATGAGATGGATGAAACTGGAGCCCATTATAGAGAGCGAAGTAAGCCAGAAAGATAAAGACCATTACAGTATACTAACACATATATATGGAATTTAGAAAGATGGTAACGATAACCCTTTATGCAAAACAGAAAAAGAGACTCAGATGTATAGAACAGACTTGTGGACTCTGTGGGAGAAGGCGAGGGTGGGATGTTTCAAGAGAGCAGCATCGAAACATGTATATTATCTAGGGTGAAACAGATCACCAGCCCAGGTTGGATACATGAGACAAGTGCTCGGGCCTGGTGCACTGGCAAGACCCAGAGGGATCGGGTGGAGAGGGAGGTGGGAGGGGGGACCGGGATGGGGAATACATGTAAATCCATGGCTAATTCATTTCAATGTATGACAAAAACCACTGCAATGTTGTAAAGTAATTAGCCTCCAACTAATAAAAATAAATGGAAAAAAAAAAGAATACTGAAAAAAAAAGAAATATTAAATTTTTAATTGAAGGATAATTGCTTTACAGAATGTTGTTGTTTTCTGCCAGAGATACGGAAACTGAAGCTTAGAGAAAGTTACCTGAGCAGTATGTAAGTTGTTAGTGGCTGTGCTGGGACTTAAACCCTGCTACTGTGATATTCTTACCCTCTACTGAGAACAACTAGCCTAGATAACCTGGTGAAAAGCTTACTAATAATAAACTGTCATAATGAGTTACAGTGTTCGACATCATTTCATATCCATAGTCACATGTGCCCATTACAACAACTCTGATGTCGTTAGAACAACATTTTGAGGAATTGATACTGGCAGCTTATAGAGCCTGAGTGGCTTTGCCCATGGTCACATTCCTGATACCAGGTAGAGTTGGAAACGTGCAGAGAGATGCAGTGAATTCTACCCTCAGGTGAGCATTGGAGCCCCATGAGAGGCAGGGCCTTATCAATGACCATGGTGTGAGTGAACGCTGCTGCTTTGTGATGAACCTGGAGGTGCCTGGACTCCAGGTCAATGTAGTCAGGCCTGCTTTTGACTCCAGGTTGCCAGAGCACATTGGCTTGGCCTGTGTGGGGGCGCTGGGGGAGGATCACTTGTGGCTTTGGGCCCCAGATGAGCCAAGATCCGAAGACCAGGACCCTTAAAGGAAGGGCCTGTCTCTTCTCTGTTTTATCCTTCACTAAGAGAGAAAAACTTAAGCCTCAGTTAAAACAGACTGGGCACTGAGAGAATTTCTTAACTTGTGGGAATGTCTTCATGTTCAAACTACTGAGGGAACTTACGGAGTCGTCCTTTCTGAAAGCATCAGAAGCAGGCTGGAGTCTTTACAGACCAGAGGTCCTCAGTGTTTTTCTGTCCCGCTGTGGGGAGCCATTGCCCCCATTCCCCAGTAGCTTCAGGGACTGGTAAATTCTCACCTTGAGGGTTGAGGAGCCACATCGTAGGGGAGCATTTATCAAAATATCTAGAGAGATAAGGCATATATAGTTTGAAAGGGCTTCCTGAGAGATTCTGAGTCTCATTAAATATTGGCCACCACTGACTAGGGTTTAAGCTTCATGAGGACATGAATTTTTGTCTCTTGTTTATTCTGATAGCTAGCGCCTAGAGCAGGGCCTGGCATGTAGTAGGTGCTCACTAATTATTATTGAATGAATAAACACATGACAAAGTCATCTTCTGTTAAAGGCATCTTCCTCGCCTCCAAGTGGGAGTAACTGAGACACAGAATCCTTTGTGTAGCCCAGACGCTTGTTGCCTTACAGGGCTGGACTGTGACCTTTTGCATCCGTGGTTCTGTGAAAGAAGTGAGGGACCTGGGCCTTTTTTGATTGTGAGTAGGTCCGGCTCTCCCCAGGCTCCAGCTTGGCACATTGCCCTAGCCCTGCCTGCCCTGGGGAGCACTCTTTTCACACCTCCTCACTGAGCAGAGTCTCTTTGGTCATCAGCTTGGCTGGGCACTGGATTTCTCTCATCTGTGCCCATGTACACGTGGGATGGCTCTTGTTTGACTTGCCCTTTTAAAAACAACTTAAGCATGTTGAGGTTTCCTGTTGACTGGGGGCAGCCAAAGGCTATGACCCAACAGGGAATTGTTGGCCAATCCCTGACTCACCCGAGCTGTAGTTTTCTGTGTGTGATCGAGCAGCGACAGCAGCCTGGCTCAGGGGCAGCTGGCTGCATTCCCCAGATGGCATGGTGCTCTGGAGCCTGTGAGCCTGGACCGCCCCACTCTGCGGGCCTGGGGATTAGGGTCAGGTGGGCCTTGGGAGCATGCAGTGTTGGCAAAGCCCTGCTGTCTTTGAACTAAAGCAGTTTGGGAACATTTCTGAAAGTTGACAGTGATTGCCCTAGTAGACAGCTAGAAAAGAATGCCGATAAGGAAGTATGCCCATGGTTCTCTTCAGTCAGATCACCTGTACCTTTTCCTGTCTTTATTTGTTCATCATTCATGGTGCACCTGCTAGATACCGACTAGGTATCCCTCCACCTGGAAGAAGTCACGGTCTCATGAGGAAGACCAAGAGGTTCCCTGATATTTACAAACACTACACTGGAGACAGGACTGTGCCCAGAGCTGTGGGGGTCTCTGCTGATCTATGTCTAGGGACCCGGGCAGTTCACAAGGATGGTGGAGGCCACTGCCTCCTCTTTAGAGCAACAACATAGTGTAGTCCTGGCTTCACCATGTACCAACTGAGACCTTGAATGAGATGTTTAACCTTTGTATGCCTCAGTGTTTTTCATTTGCAAAATGAGGATAATAATAAAGTATAATAATATGACAGAGTTTTGTGAAGATTGAATGGATAAATATATGTTAAGCCCTATCCTAAAGAAAATCAACCCTGAATATTCTTTGGAAGGACTGATGCTGAAGCTGAAGTTCCAATAGTTTGGCCACCTGATGTGAAGAGCCGAGTCATTGGAAAAGACCCTGATACTGGGAAAGATTGAGGGCAGGAGGAGAAGGGGGTGACAGAGTATCAGATGGTTGGATGGCATCACCTATTCAATGGACATGAGTGTGAGCAAGCTCCGGGAGATAGTGAAGGACAGCAAAGTCTGGTGTGCTGCAGTCCATGGGGTCGCAAAGAGTTGGACACAGCTTGGCAACTGAACAACAAAAATGTAAAAACATTTACTTAGAACTGTTGCCAGTATTTGCTAAGATCTGTGTGTTGATCTGGAGCTGGGAGGTGGCTTGTTTGATGTGATATCACTGCTGGAGGCTAGAGCCGTGAAGAAGCTGGTTTCCTCTCCCCATCAGCCTCCTCATTGAGACAGTGGAAAGGATTCTTTCTTGAGGCGCCCTTCTGATCCTTTTGGGGGGCTTTCCCATAGCTCAAATGGTAAAGAATCTGCCTGCAATTCAGGAGACCAGGGTTCAGTCCCTGGGTCGGGAAGATCCCCTGGAGAAGGGAATGGCAGTCCACTTCAGTATTCTTGCCTGGAGAATCCCAAGGACAGAGAAGCCTGGTGGGCTACAGTCCATGAGGTTGCAAAGAGTCCGATATGACTGAGCAACTAACACACGCACACCTCTGATCCTTTTGAGACCTTCAGGGATCTGAGTTCTTATCAAGACCCAAGCTGAGGTGGAGTGTCTTGTGTCTGGTAGCAGAAGCCTGAGGGGAGATGGGGCTTGTCCAGGAGATAGATCAGAGGGGTCAAGTGCCTATTTGGGACCACTTTAGGAAGTGGGTGCTGGAGATGCTTTGTAGCAGCTCATGAGAGTTGATCGTGAGTGTTGCTTCCCAACTCCACATCCAGTGAGGTCACATGGGTTGTCTGAACTCAGCCATAGTAGGAATAATTATATTGTGAAAGTTGGCAGGTGTGACAAATCTATGCTTTCTCCCTTCAAGGAGCAGATTATTAAATATTTAGCAGCACACTCCTGGTCTTACTGTTCTCTGATTGGCAGAGGTGGACTTGGGGATGCTCTGGCCTGTTGTAGACCTGGCTTCTATGGCAGACAGTACCCAGGGCCTCTGGGTATGAACTGGGCAGAGAGACCCATTGAGTGTAGCCTGCTGTGGATAAGATGTTTCTTCCTGAGGACAGCTTTGGACGGTACATTATTGCATATAGTACTTTGAGCTTGAGAGTCCCACAGGAAAGGGGTGAGCTGAGCTCTTTAAGAATAAAACAGTGTTGTCAGGCCACGCACTGCCATTTCTCTTCTTTTTTTCTCCTAGGTCTCAGTCAGTCTCTCCACCTCCGGTTCTCTCCCCACCGAGGAGCCCCATCTACCCGCTCAGTGACAGTGAGACGTCAGCCTGTAGGTACCCAAGCCGCTCCGGCTCCCGGCTGCTCCTCAAGGACTGGCATCCCCGTGAGCCTTCACCCCAGCATCCTCAAGCCCCCTCCCCCGACACCTCACCACCCGTCTGTCCCCTCAAGGCCACCAGCTTCGGTTATCTGGACAGAAGCCCTGCCGTGTGCAAGAGAGAGGACCAGAAGGAGAATGTCCGGGGGGCAGCCCAAGATGTAGAGGGCATCGCTGCTTGCCCGCCCCTCGCCCAGAGCACTCCGTCCCTGGGGTCAGCAGTGGGCCCCCGGAGTGTCTTTCTGAACCGCGCTGGCCCCCGTGCCCACAGCCTGGGCATCCGGGAGAAGATTTCAGCATGGGAGGGTCGCCGAGAGACTTCACCCAGGATGAGTGTGTGTGGAGAGAAGCGGGAGGGCTCTGGGGGAGAGTGGGCGGCCAGTGAGGGCTGCCCCAGCGTGGGCTGCCCCAGCGTGGTGCCGTCCCCCTGCAGCTCGGACAAGACCTTCGACTTCAAGGGCCTCCGGAGGATGAGCAGGACCTTCTCCGAGTGTTCCTACCCCGAGACCGAGGAGGAGGGAGAGGCGCTCCCTGTGCGGGACTCTTTCTACCGGCTGGAGAAACGGCCCGGCCGGAGTGAGCCCAGTGCCTTCCTCAGGGGGCACAGCAGCAGGAAGGAGACCTCAGCCGTGCTGAGTCGGATCCAGAAAATTGAACAGGCCCTGAAGGAGCAGCCGGGCCGGGGGCTCCCCCAGCTCCCCAGCAGCTGCTACAGTGTAGACCGAGGGAGACGGAAGACTGGGACCTTGGGCCCCTTGGAGGAACCCACAGGGAGCGCGAGTGTGAGCACTGGCAGCCGGGCCGGAGGAGCGGCTGGAGTTGGGGGGGAGGCGGGCCCACCCCCGGAGAGGGAAGGCAGTGGCCCCGCTAAGCCAGGGACCCCTGGAAATAGCCCGACCTCCCAGCTGCTGCCGCCGAAGAGCTCCCCTGACCCCGCTGTGAACCCTGTCCCCAAACCCAAGCGCACCTTTGAATATGAGGCTGACAAGAACCCCAAGAGTAAGCCAAGCAATGGTCTACCTCCTTCACCCACACCTGCTGCTCCACCCCCCCTGCCCTCCACCCCAGCCCCACCTGTCACCCGGAGACCCAAGAAGGACACACGAGGTCACCGCAAGTCCCAGAACAGGTAACGAATGCCCCTCCAGTGACGCAGAGCTGGGCACAGCGGCTTTGTTTTCAGTGGAGGATGCAGGAGCAGACTGTGGTTGCGGGTCACAGTTAGTAGTGCTTGGTAAACTCTGGAGCAGCAAATGATGTTAGGTGAAACATGAGCTAGGCGAAAAAGGTTGATGGTTCTTCTGCTCTTGCAGGGGATCTTCCCAACCCAGGGATCAAATGCATGTCTCTTAGGTCTCCTGCATTGGCAGGCGGGTTCTTTACCACTAGTGCCACCTGGGAAGCCCTGCTTAAAAGTGAGTGGGAGGGTGACACGACATTCCAAATGTCGTGTCCTGAAGATGCTGACTGGTTTGGCCTTTGGAGTAGAGCCCTACTGGAACTTCCTCTATGGGAAGGGTGAAAGTGAGAGTTGCTCAGTTGTGTCCAATTCTTTGCAACCCCATGGACTACAAAATCCTGGGAATTCTCCAGGCTGGAATACTGGAGTGGGTAGCCTTCTCCAGGGGATTTTCCCAACCCAGGGATCAAACTCAGGCTTCCTGCATTGCAGGCGGATTGTTTACCAGCTGAGCCACATGGGGATGGTAGGGCCATCTTACTTTTAGATTGGTAGGGCAGTCCCTTGAGTACTAGTAGGATCTTATCCTCATAACTACCTGAAATGCCAGCTAGAGATTTATTTCCTTGGCTGAAACATTATCCAAATACTGCACGTTACCATTAACACAGTAGGGTTGATGCACTTAACATGATTTGCTCTTTCCTGAGGGCTGTCTGGGGGTATAGGAACCCTTGGCTTATATGAAGAGGGGATCTTTGGAGCCTAAAAGGGGAGACTGATGGAAAACGGAGAGAAAGAGCATTTCACCTGGCCATGTCAAGAAGGACCTGTTCTGGGCTTCACATTGACTTCATGGTCCGTCTCAGCACTCCTGACGCTGGACTGCCCGGACCATCTCCACAATTGTAGTGACTTGGGAGCTGGAGCAGCTGGAGTTGGTGCAGGTTGATAGGCATCTTGTTTTCTGAATAGGCGTAGGCTGGGAGCCAGCTTCCTGTGCACGGCCTGTCGTCCTGCCCCTCACTGCCTTTCTCTTCTAACATAATGTCAGGTGGGCATTCAGGTTTCTTTGTCTTCTTTCTTTGTCTTCAACCTGACTCCATACTTCAGGCTTCCACCCAGCATATCCCAACTCATACAGAAACTTTCCCATCATATGCAGAGAAGAAAACATCACAAAGGCTCAAACTCATGAGCTAGAAGAGACCTTGGCTAAATGTAATTCCATGTTCTGGTCCACCTCAGCATGCTCACTGACTCTTAAGTCTGCAACACCCTGCTGAAATGTTTGCTTTGTCTTTGTGTATGTGCGTGTGTGAGTGGCTCAGTCATGTCCGACTCTTTGCGACCCCATGGACTGTAGCCCACCAGACTTCTCTGTCCATGGAATTCTCCAGGCAAGAATAGTGGAGTGGATTGCCATTCTCTTCTCCAGAGGAACTTCCCGACTTTGTCTTTAGTCATCTATCTCTAGAAAAATCTGTCTAGAGCCTGCTGTGCACCAAGCCTTTGTGCTGGTCAGGGGGACACAAGGGTGCATAAGATGTGGCTGTTGCATTCAAGGAGTTGGTAACCTGGTACAGGAGATAGATGCACAAATGAATTACAGATGCTGTGCTCCCTACCCGGATCCATGGGCAGGCAGAATGCTGCCGAAACCCAGAGGAAGAGGCGTCCTAACTGGGGAATGAGGGAACCCTCCTCAGAGAGGGAGGTGCTGAGCTACATTTAGGAGAGCAGGAAGCACATAGCCAAGTGGAAAAAGGGGATAAGAGGAGAGAGTACTTCAGCCTGAAGGTTTTACACATACACACCCACATATTACATTCATAATATATACATACATCCATATATGGTAGAGTCACTTCAAATGAGAATTAACAGCAAAGTTAAATCTCTGTTCTTAGGGCAAAAATAAAAAGGAGAATCCGTTTGAAAGTACAGGGTAAGGATGAGACAGTAAGTTTAAATCTGTGGTGCCTGGTACAGTTCTTGTATTTAATATACCTTTTTATTTTAAAAAATATACAAGCCATACATTTCTGTTATTCAACCAGAGAAAAATCTTTTTAAAAGTCTGGAGGAGAAACTGACTATATCCGTCATCATGTAAGACCCTGTGCTGGTCCTCGATATGGTACCTTCCAGAGGGATTTTCAAGGATAATTTGGCTGAAAATGGCTTGTGTTATTTGCTGACCTGAGAACTGCCTACATGAGATGTCGACTCCACTGTATACATTGCTGAAGGCTTGCTCTCACACCAGCAGTGGTTTGCGGGCCAGCTTTCAGAAACCTCTGTGCTCAGCCATTGGGTATTTAGCTGGTTGAGAAGTCTGGGCCAGAGACAGAGATTGGGGCGTTACCATGGTAGCAATGGTAGATACAGCCCTGTCAGTACAGGGCTCCCAGAAAGTGCGGCGCGAGAAAGAGAGTCCTGAAGACAGAACTCTGAGACTGTGGCATTGGAAAGGCAAGTGCAAAAGGGGACCCCTCACAGGAGCTTGAGAAGCAATTGGAAACTAGAAGGGCCTATGTCACAGAGGGCAGGGAGGAGAGGGCCAGTATGAAGTGTTCAGTTGTGACGAAGGCTGCATAGTAACCACGCAGCCGAGGACACTTTTAGTCCTAGACTTGTACCCCAGGGCCCTCGGGGTGTTGTTTATTAAACATGAGAGAAGGGACTGCATCAGCTGAAAGATCCAAGGGCACCCGAAGATGAGGAAGGTGTTAGTGGGCGAGAGGAGGGATTCAGTCGGTGCCGGTACTTTTCTCCCTCCCGGGAAGGAACGAGCCTTGCAGAGTGAGAGAATGCAGCTGGGCCAAGCCTCCCTGGTGAAGACGAGGCATAGAGGGTACCATGGGCGCAGCATGTCTGAGAAGCTAACTAGCTGTGGTTTGGAAATTATGCAGTAGAGGGGAAGATTATTTGGGAGATGGAAAGGAGCAGGTAACTAACCGAAGGGAAGGTAGGTCTTGGAAGTAGCTTCTGGCGGCAAATTGCCCTCCCAGTTCCTCTCAGAAGTGGTGTGATTTGTTTTGAGGGCTCAGGCCCTTCTTGTTTCAACAAACCACCCACCACCAGCTGCTTCCCTGGCCCCTGAACCGCTCTGAGCATCACCCGTCCAGTGTTGAGCCCTTGCTCAGATGCAGGCGTGGTGTGAGACTCTAGAACGGACGAGCTACTCAGTTCCTGTGGTCATGGCAGACACTTCTCAAAAATGATATTCTCCAGGGCTTGGAGGCCCAGGTCAAAACCTCAGACCCTGGAGTCCAACAGCCTGCACGAGTCTTAGCTCTGTCGCTTTATCTCCTTGAGCCTCAGGCTAATCCATCTTAAAGTGGCACGATGGCCTTGTAGCAGCATGGTGAAGATGAATGGGTGAACATGTGTAGAGCATCAGACACAGAGTCTGACACATGACATCCTTTTCAGCTGTGATGGTTGTTATTGGTATTAGTTGCAGACACCCAGGCTGGGGCCTTTCAGACCATGTATCTCCTCATTTGGATGGTAAGTTTGGATCCACCTTGATGTTTGCTCAGTTGGTGATTTAGGGAGGAGGACCTCCGGTCTTGGCTGTTGCCCTTGGCCGTTCTCTGCCAGGGCAGCAGGGATGCGGTTCAGCCAGAATGACTCATACTCTTGTCATCCACAGAAAATCCTTTGAGTTTGAGGATGCATCCAGTCTCCAGTCCCTGTACCCTTCTTCTCCCACTGAGAACGGTACTGAGAGCCAACCCAAGTTTGGATCCAAAAGCACTTTAGAAGAGAATGCCTATGAAGATATCGTGGGTAAGCAGGGGCCGAGGCGGGCTGGCTTGTCTGTGGTGCCGCAGAAGCGCGGCTGCGGGAAGGCATTCCCAGGTCCCGCTTCACTCTCTCTGGGCAGATGTGGCCCGACTTCTGGAACTTCTCAAGGAAAGGGGCATCAGAGAAAGAGGCTTACCAAAGACTGAGCAGCTGAGAGATTAAAGCCTGGCTTTGAATGAATTGGAACCCAAAGGGCTCCTGGGACCACAAAAAGGGGGAACCACACTGTCCCTTTATTTTTGAAAGTCTCTGGAGTCCAATAGGTGCCCTTTCTTAGCTGTGTGTCCTTAGGCAAATCACTTTTAGCTTTTTTTGAGACGTTTTCTCTTATGAAATGATGATATTTTTAATTTTTAATACTTAGTAAGTTCATATTAAAAAAAGAAGAGTCACTAAATAGCAAATGATGGAAACATACAGTTGACACTGGCAGAAATACTTGGGAAGGTGGGACGGAGGTTCAAGAGGGAGGGGACATAGGTATACCTATGGCTGATTCATGCTGATGTTTGACAGAAATGGTGATAATATTTTTATGGTAACAACAATAATAATAGTAGTAATACACAAGATTACTGTTAGGATTAAATGAGATAAAATAGATATCAAAGTACCTAGTATGATACCTGGTCCTTAATATGTATCTCTCCTACTCTTCCCTTAAAGTAAGTGTGAAAGTGTCTGAGATTTCACTCTGCTTGCAAGTTAGCAAGTCTAGCCTGTTCCAGTTCACAGCTAATGGCAGAGGACAGAGGTGCTTAGATCACCGAAGGCTTTACTACTCATGCACAATGGGCCTCATGAGCTTGATGTTCACACAGGTTCCCCTTGCTCCCCAGTCCCATGGGGCAGTGTGGTGGAGGTCCAGGTAGAGGCTGTACACTTGGTGGGTCTATTATGTCCCAGCCGAGGAACCTCAAGCTTAGGAAACCCCGAGCTTTTCAAGGGGCTGCTGGCATACCTGTTCAACCTTTGCCCCATAAGCAGACATTATCCTTATTATTCTGATCAGGAAACAGATCTGCCTCTGCCCTGGAGGGAGACTCTATCCCCCAAGGCTGTTTGCTCTATAAACATCTTTGAAAAGATACTTGGGAACCATTAATTTCTCTTGCTCAGTTTGGAAATGTAGAACACCATGGAGAATTGTTCTCCAGGTACTGGGAGGATATTATGTTGGCAAACTTACATCTGAGCGTCAACAAAAAGCAATAATAATAATAGCCGAAGCTCAGTCAGTTCAGTTCAGTTGCTCAGTTGTATCCGACTCTGCAACCCCATGGACTGCAGCACGCCAGGCCTCCTTGTCCATCACCAACTCCAAGAACTTACTCAAACTCATGTCCATCGAGTTGGTGATGCCATCCAACCATCTCATCCTCTGTCATCCCCTTCTCCTCCCACCTTCAATCTTTCCCAGCATCAGGGTCTTTTCCAATGTGTCAGTTCTTCACATCAGGTGGTGACAGTATTGGAGTTTCAGCTTCAGCATCAGTCCTTCCAATGAATATTCAGGACTGATTTCCTTTAGGATTAACTGGTTGGCTCTCCTTGCTGTCCAAGGGACTCAAGAGTTCTCCAACACCACAGTTCAAAAGCATCAATTCTTCAGTGCTCAGACTTCTTTATAGTCCAATTCTCACATCCGTACATGACTACTGGAAAAATCATAGATTTGACTAGATGGACCTTTGTCAGCAAAGTAATGTCTCTGCTTTTTAATATGCCGTCTAGGTTTGTCATAGCTTTTCTTCCAAGGAGCAAGCGTCCTTTAATTTCACGGCTGCAGTCACCATCTGCAGTGACGTTTGAGCCCAAGAAAATAAAGTCTCTCACTGTTTCCGTTGTTTCCCATCTATTTGCCATGAAGTGTCAGGACCAGATACCATGATCTTAGTTTTCTGAGTATTGGGTTTTAAGGCAACTTTTTCACTCTCCTCTTTCACTTTCATCAAGAGGCCCTTTAGTTCTTCTTCACTTTTTCCATAAGGGTGGTGTCATCTGCATATCTGAGGTTATCGATATTTCTCCCAGCAATCTTGATTCCAGCTTGCGCTTCATCCAGCCCAGAATTTCTCATGATGTACTATGCATATAAGTTAAATAGCACAGTGACAATTTACAGCCTTCATGTACTCCCTTCCAGATTTGGAACCAGTCTGTTGTTCCATGTACAGTTCTGACTATTGCTTCTTGATGCTTCTAACTGCTGCATATAGATTTCTCAGGAGACAGGTCAGGTGGTCTGGTATTCCCATCTCTTTAAGGATTTTCCACAGTTTGTTGTGCTCCACACAGTCAAAAGCTTTGGCATAGTCAATAAAGCAGAAGTAGATGTTTTTCTGAAACTCTCTCACTTTTTCAGTGATCCAATGCATGTTGGCAATTTGATCTCTGGTTCCTCTGCCTTTTCTAAATCCAGCTTGAACATCTGGAAGTTCATGGTTCATGTACTGTTGAAGCCTGGCTTGAAGAATTTTGAGCATTATTTTGCTAGCGTGTGAGATGAGTGCAATTGTGTAGTAGTTTGAGCATTCTTTGGCATTACCTTTCTCTGGGATTGGAATGAAAACTGACCTTTTCCAGTCCTGTAGCCACTGCTGAGTTTTCCAAATTTGCTGGTATATTGTGCAATAATATGTGCACACTTTCACAACATCATCTTTTAGGATTTGAAATAGCTCAACTGAAATTCCATCACCTCCACTAACTTTGTTTGTAGTGATGCTTCTTAAGGCCCACTTGACTTCGCACTCCAGGATGTCTGGCTCTAGGTGAGTGATCACACCATCATGATTATCTGGGTCATGAGATCTTTTTTGTATAGTTCTTCTTTGTATTCTTGCCACCTCTTAATATATTCTTCTTCTTTTAGTTCCATGCCATTTCTGTCCTTTATTGGGCCCATCTTTGCATGAAATGTTCCCTTGGTATCTCTAATTTTCTTGAAGAGATCTCTAGTCTTTCCCATTCTATTATTTTCCTCTATTTCTTTGCATTGATCACTGAGGAAGGCTTTCTTATCTCTCCTTGCTATTCTTTGGAACTCTACATTCAAATGGGTATATCTTTCCTTTTCTCTTTTGCTTTTAGCTTCTCTTCTTTTCACAGCTATTTGTAAGCCCTCCTCAGACAACCATTTTGCCTTTTTGCATTTCTTTTTCTTGGGAATGGTCTTGATCACTGCCTCTTTTACAGTGTCACGAACCTCCATCCATAGTTCTTCAGGCACTCTGTCTATCAGATCAAATCCCTTGAATCTATTTGTCACTTCCATTGTATAATCGTAGAGGATTTGATTTAGGTCGTACCTGAATAGTCCAGTGATTTTCTCTACTTTCTTCAATTTAAGTCTGAATTTGGCAATAAGAAGTTCATGATCTGGAGAAGGAAATGGCAACCCACTCCAGTATTCTTGCCTGGAGAATCCCATGGACAGGAGCTTGGCAGGCTGCAGTCCACGGGGTCACAAGAGTTGGACATGACTTAGCCACTAAATAACAACAACACAGGCGTCACATTCAACTTAATGTCTAACAACTAATGGCTTTTGAAGACAAATGGGCAAGACAGACATTTATGTTCCCTACTGTGATATCAATACACAGTTCCCACACTCCCCTTTATTCTGCCTATTTAACTGGCCACAGCTAATAGTCTACTCAAACTTATACTCCCCAACTGTTTGTAGATTTAGGAGGAAAGGAAACTGGAATAAACTGATAATTCTGTAAGCATTAGTCTTTCTTGAGGCTTTCCAGAATATAAGACCCATTCTGAACCCTGTGTGGAAAGAGCCCAGAGCAAGGTAGAGGCCTGGTGTCCTACCTCAGAGTAGCCACTGACTTCAGGGAGATGTGGTTTTAGAGCTGAAGGAGTTAACTAGTGCCCTGACCACACCGGAGATGCAGAAAGAGATCCAGGAGCTAAAGAAGGAATGTGCTGGCTACAGAGAAAGACTGAAGAACATCAAAGAGGCCACCAACCATGTGACTCCAGAAGAGAAAGAGCAGGTGTACAAGGAGAGGCAGAGGTACCACAAGGAGTGGAGGAAGCGCAAGAGGATGGCAACAGAGCTGTCTGATGCCATCCTTGAAGGATACCCCAAGAGCAAGAAGCAGTTCTTTGAGGAAGTTGGGATAGAGACTGATGAAGATCACGACGTCAAGCTCCCAGATCCCTGAGAGGCTCCCCCAGCAGGACTGGAAACAGAGACGTCCTGGACTGGCTGCTGTGTTTAGGCCAGCTCTTTTGTTCCTGGTGCTGTCCACCTTTGAGCACACACCAGAGTACTGGGTGGAGGGAGGAAGCACAGGTGGCCCAGAGAGGATGGGCATACTCATTTCATCAGCCACATGTCGACTGCTTAAACTCAACACTTAGATGTGGAACAACACTAAAGGACAGCATTTGGCAATATTTATTGTAATATCATTTGATATAAAAATATTTCATTTCTTCTGGATAATTACACCTCCCAAATATCAAACCTGAGGAAGGCAAAAGGGAGCTTGGGGAACAAGGGCAGAGAGAGGCTGCCATACACAGCATTCAAGAAGCCCAGGGCCTTACCCAGGATTCTCCTGGGCTCTACAAGTCAGAAGACCTTTAAAGAATCTCCTGTACCCACCTTCACCCCACCCCAAGTCCTGGGAGAAATGTAGGAAGCACTGAGATGGTAGAGAGCCAGATACACTTGACAGAAAGGTTACAAGTAGTCTGGAGGCCAGTTAATTCTCCAAAATTGTAACTTTAGCAAAACTGCATTATTTAGAAAAATTAAACACTTTGAATATGTAAAAAAAAAAAAAAGAAGTTCATGATCTGAGGCCACAGTCAGCTTCTGGTCTTGTTTTTGCTGACTCTATAGAGCTTCTTCATCTTTGGCTGCAAAGAATATAATCAATCTGATTTTGGTGTTGGCCATCTGGTGATGTCCATGTGTAGAGTCTTCTCTTGTGTTGTTGGAAGAGGGTGTTTGC